TGATCTTGCAAAATATTTATTCACTGGACCATAGAAAAGAATTTTTGAGTATTCTCTTCAAACTGATTTGCTATCCTTATTATCCTTGCAAGTCAGTTCCAAAATAAGAATAGAAATCCTATTAAATCATTTCAAATATTTAGCTGTAACAAATCTTGATAAGGCTCATCATGCTACAAATCCTCATAAGATTTCAAGCTACTTTTACCTTGGTGAAGCTATTACCTTTGCAACTATGATATAGGATTTTCATGGTATAATAATTGCCCAATTTAGGTTTCTTTTTATAATACAATAGCTTATTTTCAATATGACAACAGGAAATAATTCAATAGACAGTATACCATACTGTCTCTACATATACTTAGGAAAGAGGCAGAATGTATTTCCCATTACCTACAAAACAGTACTCTTGTATTTCTTTCCTAGTTATCTAATAAATAAACAAAAGAGCCACTATAACACCATCAATTTAGAATTTCAAAAATAAATAAAAATGATAGCACATATATAATATTTATGAAGAAGGAAGAATATAATAGAACAAAAATGTGAGAATTTATAATTCTGAAGAAAGAAAGAAAACATTGTCTTCTTTCCCTGTGGTTTGGGATGTATAGGAAACTAGGAATCTCAATAATAAGTTCTGCTACCCAGATAAAAATTTATCTTAAATCCTATGTTGATTTTAACTGAATATTTATAAATGAACAGGCCATTTTTGTTTAACCTTTCTAACTCTAATTCTCCAAGGGGACAGTGAAGTAGACAAGAGAGAAATGGGGCAGTAATTTTCTCTGAATAATTATACTTGGCCCCTAATAATGTGCAAAGAGACACAGAGAAAGAAAGAGATGATCCACAAAATCCATGGAATTAATTCCATTTATAGATGTGCTTGAACAACTCACAAATTGTCTATCAGAAATTATAATCAGACATACAAGACCTAGGACTCTCTCCTGATATATGTAGGTTCTTATATCTATATCCAAGGGTGTCTGAATTTTAAAATCTCCGCTGCTGTGCCCTGCTGTCCTACCTCCTCCTGCTTCTCCCCTGCTAGGGACTGCTGAACACTCACATGTCCCCGGAAACTTCTCAGAGGCCAACAAACGTTCCCTCTTCTCTTCACCTCTTCCAGGTACTCTTGTCCCATAGCTCCTGAGTATCCTTGTAATCAACTGCAACGCCTTGTATGACACAACGATATTAAAATGATGAGAACAGCAAATTTAAAAGGCTCCTACTTTCACAAATATGCTGATATGGTCTAATCAAACATTTATTAATAATTGAAATGTCATCATTCAGTGATATAAACAGCACCGGAAGGTGAACTGTAAATGATAAAAGGAGGAAGGCGATAGGAAGGGAGGCTGCCTACCCCACAAAGCTGCCAGGACACACTGTCAGAAAGTTGTTCTGATTCTGTCTTAAGTTGCTCCATGAGACAATCTTTGGCACAGTCTTTAGACCCTGAAAAAGAAGTCATGACATAATGTTTCAATCATATTAAATTCCCTTCACATTTTATTTGGATTACTAGAAATTAAAAAGGGAGTCTGACAAAGTGGCACTAGCACTTAAAAGACGTTAATCAGACATCTTTTAAGAGTTAAAAGACTCAGAGAGTTCGATAAAATCCCTGAGTTTGCCCTCATTGCAATTCAAAAAGCCAGGTTCATATCTTGGCTCTCCATTAAGGACAAGACCCCAAGAAACCTCTATTTCATAGCCTAGTTCTCTTCTGGCTGCATTTGTCCTCCAAATCTGACTGGTGGGTGAAAAACCAAGGCCTTATAGATGTACTCAGTAATATTGATCCAAACATTGTCTGAACATATTTTCTCTGTGTCCTCCTAAATCCTCCTGACCTGTCATCCTACCTGTCTCTAGGTAAAATTGGTAAAATTGTGAAGTCCCATAGCAAGCCTAACCCGAAAAATACCATTCGTATGATCAATTCTGATTATGTGGTCCAGGGGAATTCAAGAATCTTGGTTTCCATACCCAAACCGCGCCAGTAACCAATCAAACCTTAGTCACGTTTCCCAGACAATCCCCTCGCAGCTGTCTGTTACTCTACATCATTGGATACCCATGTTGTTCACACTGGCTCAGAGGCCCTCTTTCCCTTCTATTTCCTCTTTTACTGAGTATGATTTTATGATTACTTTGTGCACTGAAGCAACTCTCTTTGGAACAGTGAAGCACAGCCAACGCCTCTCACCACCACCAAGAGCACTGATATTGCAACTTGACTATTTTTGCTGTACACCCAAACTTTGAAATTTGCTCAGCTGTACTCAGTTGTTTGATCTTAAGGTCTGAGTGTGGGAGTGAAATGAGGATTTTTCTTTGTATTTATTCTGTCTCTCACCATTCCTCCCTCTCTCTCTCTCTCTCTCTCTCTCCCTGTGTGTGTGTGATTTAACTGTAGTAAAACATACATAACATGAAATTTGATATTTTAATAGATTTTAGGTGTACAGTTCAGTGATATTAACTGCATTCACACTGTTGTGCATTTACTATTACCATCAATCTTTAAACTGTTTTCATTTATTGACATGCAAACTTTACACCTATCCAACAATAATCCCTTACTTCCCTCTTCCCCTGGCCAATGGTAAAACCATTCCACTTTCTATCATACAAATTTGACCAGCCTAGGGCCTTCATATATGGACTAATGGCATTTATATGATTATTGCATTTAGAGTAACATTGTCAAGGTTCATCCATGTTGTAGCAGATAACAGATTCCTTTTATGTTTAAGATTGAAAACTCTCCTGTTGTGTGCATGTCTGTGTGAATATAAAACACATTCTGTTTAACCATTTATCCATCTATGGGTACTTGGCTTGTTTCTACTTTGAGCCATTGTGAGTAACAGTGTTGTGAAGACAAATGCACATATTCCTTGTTCCAAGTTCTTTAAATATTTACCCACAGGTGGAATTGTTGGGTCATATGGTAATTACATGTTTAATTTTTTGAAGAACTACCACACTGTTGACTCCAGTTCTTCTACCTACCGTATACCAAAATATTTCATCCTCAGGCCAAATATAGATATTTGAATATAAAAAACCAGGGCAAGTTTATCCGTACGGCTGTGTATCAAATTACTCACGAAACTCAGCAGTTTAACACAACAAAAAAACTATTGTCTCATGGTTTCTGTGGATCAGCCATCTGAGCCCAGCTTAGCTGGGTGCCTTTGGTTTACTATGTCCTGCAATTCAGGTATTGGCAGAAGCTATAGTCAGCATGAAGCTCATCTGAGGAAGGGGCTGTCTGTACACTCATATATCTAATCAGGAAACCTCAAAAAATGTACTTCCATTTTCTCCATTAGCTGTTGACTTTACCTTAACCGGCTGTAGGCACAAATATCAGTTTCTTTCTAGAAAGACCTCTACAAGGGCAACTGACAGTCTCATTTTCTGCTCACAGTCTTTTTGTAGCTTAATCTTCAGAAACATCTCATTGTCTTCGCTACACTATATTCATTAGGTCCAACAAAAACTCAGGGAAAGGTATTGGGCAAAAATGTGGAGGCAAAGAGTGCAAGATTATAGAGGATCATTTTAGAAGGTGCCTACCACAGTAAGAAATTTACCTGGGTTTTCTTTTTATGGTTGTAATCTAGAAAAATTAGGATCTAAATGGCACTCAAACTATGTTTAATGAATGAGTCAATATTAGTCAGCATAAAACTTGCACTTCTACATTTGGATACGGTGCTTCAAATTAGGGGAAATTTAACCTGGTACATGGACTTATGATATTTTTAACAACTAAAAATCTATTTTTCATCTATTTTATGTTACATTTTTTAAAAAAGAATTTAGCATCTCTTTTGAGGGTACTTGGAAAATGATACCACTTACTAACCTCTTTTGTATATTTCCTGATTTTCTGTTGAAACCATCATTTTATGACATACAGGAATACAGAATATGGTTGAAGATAATGCAGTCTATTTTAGGAATTTAACATTGGTTACTGAAAGGCTTTTATGTATCAAGATAAAGTATATTGCACTAAATATGTGAATGCTGTTTCTTCTTGGATTCTTTTCTTTAGCATCATATTGATTTTTAGAGGAAACTTTTACAAAAAATAAGGAAAAAGATATTAGGCACGGATAGACTGCCACATGGGGTGCTACAGTTTATCTGACCAAACCCTCACTTAGTTTTTTCTTTTGGGCAGTACTGGGATTGAACCCAGAGCCTTTGCACTGAATGACAACCCAGCCCCTCTCCCCTTTTTATTTTGAAGCAGGATCTTACTAAGTTGCCTAGACTGAGTTCACCCTCTTGATATTCCTGCCTTAACTGCCCTGGGTGCTGGGGTTACAAGCCTGCCTCATGACTGACTTGATTTTTTAAAATAATGTTATTTGGCTTTAGTTACTATACATGATATATATTGAAATTCTCAGTTGGTGATGTTTTATCACATTTTCTACAATGTGTTAAATAGGGTATCATTTACTCCTTACAAATATGAAAGATGTATTGTTGGATTTACTACTATACAGGAAAAAAGTTGAAATGCCCTGCAGCAGCACATCGGACAACTTTAGAAGAAAGGCGTTAATACGTTGCCCAAAGCTTCCATCCTTATTTGCGTGTGTCCACAGCGAGTAACGTTTACATTACCTGTGTGGAGCTGCTGCGTGGACCTAACACGTTCTATTCATTTTTTCATCCCGTTTCCCTCCCTCCTCCCTCCTCTTAAGCTCCTTCCTATCTGAGAAACACCTACAACAAAAAGATTCTTTGGAACTTTTAACTGAAATGTGGCAGTTCATCTCAACTGTCAGCGTGGTTGGCTGGGGAGCCACAGAGGGATCCCGGAAAGCTCACTTCAGGGTGGATCTGGGCCACGAGTCACGGACACATGAGCTTGCAGTCTGTACCTGGCCTCTGGCCCCTTTGCTGTGGGGCTGCTCCCTGCCCTGCATTGCCGACACCATGACCCAGGCGGCTTTGCGCCACCACGCACTTTTGCCACAATGTTCCTGCTCAACTGGCTGACCGCGCAGCTCTGTGAAACTGGGAACCAAGTAAGTCCGCTCTCCTTGTGTCGGGTGGGTTGCACCACTGACGGGGGAGTTGACCAATAGCCCACTATAGTCAGTTTTTTATTGTGGACAGTTTTTCACCGTGCTTAATTTGTGGTGAAAATGGCTCTAAAATTCCTTCCATCTCCAAAACTCTATAAGATACAATCATATCAGCATTAATTTAACCAAGAAAAAAATCCTTTCATTTTAAGAATAAAATGATATTGTGTCTATTTTGTAAATTTTGAAATTCTGACCTCCTTCAGATTCTCTTAATGCTTCAAAATGGTGTTGCAAACGTATATAATTTATCTTCTTAGGAATTATTACCTCGGTATGACTTCTTAAAATTGCTGTATAAGCCCTTCTAAAAATTAGAATTCAAAATGTCTCATATTCAATATTTTACTTATGATTACTAAAATTTCTTCAGAAGGTTTTCAGTTTCCTCTAGGAACAACCAGTGCATCTTCAATACCCTAAATTTAATATATTCTGCTCATAGCCAGTGAAGTGTAAGTCTGTTGTAAAGAGTTCATAGCCAGTCCTTCCACTGAGACTTCATATTTATTGTTTTAAATCTGAAAACAGTAATTTAAAAGTTGAAGAGCCACTTTTAAACTATTAAAATTAAAGACTTAAAATAAAAACATAATTTAAGACATAAGAATATTGGGAAGGGAACGTAAGAGAGATGAGCAAGTAAAAGCCACATCTTTTATTATTGCTTAAAGCTTAAAATGAAAATTAGAACCCTAAGAAATAAAATAGACTGCATTATAAATCTAAGATTAGGAACACTTTATATACTTAAGCAGCAGCCTTTCAGATTCAATAGCAGTTTTATGATAACAGTGCATTTTCTCATTGTAAACTCAAAGTTAAATTGATCACTGCTGATTAACTTTCAAGAAATGAGTAGAACCTCACATTTCCCATGACTTACTTAGTTGCCTGGTACGCACCACTCTGTGAGTGCTGCGATTGCAGAGTAGTGTATAAAACCCAGTGAGCTGCAGATCATACTCTGAATATCCTGCAAATGTCTCAGTCACCTTCCTGTCACTCTGGCAAAATACCTGAGAGAGCAGAGCAGTTTATTTGTCTCCTAGTTTCTGTCCGTGATTGGCTGGTTGCACAGCAAGTAGCATGATAAAACAGCATGGTGGATGGAAGCTGCTCATCCTATGGCAGCTAGAGAGAGAGAGAGAGAGAGAGAGAGAGAGAGATGTGGGGAACAAGAACACACCCCTCCAAATCACACCACTAGTCACCAAATTGCAACCAGGCCCCATATACGAACAGCATATTTACCTGCTGAAGTCATCAATAGATGAAATACCAAGACGTAAGGCACCCAGTGACCCAAATCACCTTCCAAACACATGAGATTTGGGAGTGCATTTCAGATCTAAACTGTCACAGCAAAGATATAATTTGTTTAAAATCAGTACGGGCAGACACGAGGCCCCTTATTCAACAACTCCTGGTTCCCACATATGATTTCTTGCTGCTTGTACTGCAGGCAAATACAAGTCCAATTAAGGTATTATATTCTACCCATTAAAGCGGCCAACTGTGGAAGCATCATTTATCTGTTGGGAAGCGGACTGTCATTTTATATAATTGTACAATAAAATCTGTAAACTATAATGTGATTCTAAATTTGCAAGGGGGTTCAGATTGGGGTCCTTAATAAAAAGTCCATAAAGTTTCTAGGCTTCAGAGCATCCTAAACTGGTTCTGTGAGATATTTACATTGATGAACATATTGCAGATAAGAGTACCCTGAGCGAAAGGAGAGTAAAACAGACAAAGGATGACTCCAAGGTACAGACGCCAGAGATTCACGCAGTAACAGCATTTACAGATGGCCAAGGGATGTAGCAAAATTCAGAGTTTATTGATACACCACAGGAGGGGGGCAGATGATTTCCAAGAGAACATGCTGTTGGGGTGAGACTTTAAGGTATTTATAAGGGACTGAAGATGTAGTCTCAGTTAGTAAATGTAGATACTGCAGAAATATATTTTCCAGGGCATCCTGTTCCTCGTTAATCTGTTAGGAACACCTGCACTGTGACTAAAGTGGTACATCAAAGTTGCAAATTCAAAGGGCCACTTACTATGGCCCTACAGAGGGCACCTCCTTACGGGGAGTTTATTTTTATTCCATGGTGGTTTTGGTCAGTGTGAGTACACCACAACTGCTTAGAATGTACTGAGCATGACTGATTTAATGGAGGAATTTTGCTATGGGGGATTTTAACCCTTTGTTACCAAGGGCTAATCACCACAGGAAGGACTGCTCCTTGTAGAAGGAGCTTGGGGTGAGGGCAGATGTTCAGGTTTGTAGGGATCACTCTGAGGTGTTTGTTAGATAAACTGAGCTGACTCAGACTAACTGGACACAGAGAAACAGGATGGTAAGAACAGTAAAATTCCAAAAATATATATGTAACATTCATGGAAGTGAAAATGTTATAAAGATATGCTCTAGAAATCCTAGGACACATTTTTCTTGAGTTTTGTACAAATGTTAATCAGTTTTCCTCCTAAGTGTAGTTTTTAAAGGTGAAGAAATTGGTGTTGTCTTTGAGAAACTGTTTCCTTTCCGTATGCATTATTTTTGTTGTACCAGTGATATATAGCTATTAAATATGGTTATAAATATTTAAGCTATTAATGGTTGCATTACACATTATAAATAGCTCTGTGAGCTCACCACGCACTGTAAGTGATACACTCTGGTTCCCCAAGGAACCATGGATAAAGTCACAACCACAGCAGAGGATATAATGTACATTCATCAGAGACAAGTGATGTTATGGGGGTAACAGATACTGGGCTGAGTTTATTTTAGTCAGTAAAATTGGTGACAAAGAGAGGATATTCTACAAACTGACCTGGTGTGACCGATAGTACACTAAGATGAAAAAATGTAAACCATTTTGGAATTAATTTTATACAAGGGAAACAGGTACATTCTTTTAAATCCTGCAAGTAATACAAAAGAAGGCACTGAAGGCGCTAGCTATTTAAGAATCCTGCACACATTTTGTGTTTTTTACTATTATGTATTTCTTTTTGCATTCCATGCCCTCATATTTTTTCATATTCTCCCCTTTTGGGGAGATTTCTCCTGCTGATACACAGGACTGATTCAACAGAGAACAGTTTATAGGTCTCATAGGCAGGTAACAATAGTGTAAGTAGGAGGAAGAAAGACAAGGTAGGTTGGTTACTTTGTTTCTGTGGGTCTTGATGGTATTCACATAGGTATTAATCTCTGAGTGTCAGTTTCCTAGTTTGTAAAATAGAAATAAAAAAATAACCCTAAGAGTTGTTGTGAAATTAATAAATGTAGACAGTTGTTTACCTACTATACTAATATAACAAATATAATGTAGAAAGGTAATAATAATTATTATTTTCTGAGATAAATATACATACAAGATCTGAAGGCCAATTTTATTCTTTTCACATTCAGCTCTTGAACTCTGGACTATATATTGGCTTTATACTAGATCCTTATATGTACATTTCCTGTAATTTTTACAGTAACCTAGAAAAGCAGTCATTATTTCTCCATTTCTGAGGACCAGAAGCTAAGATTCAGAAAAATAACGTGCTCACAGTCACACCAACAGAAATCCAGAAGTCAGCCCCAGACCTAGTCTGCTTAATTCCAAAACCTGTGCTCAGCCCCAAGCCCACAAAGATGGTGGACGAAGGACCAGGGCAAGAATACTCAACCAAGCAGTGTCTCCTCACACCCATACCCTACACACCCCACCCGACCCCCTCGCCCACTCACCCGTGCCAGGCAGCTTACGGGAATATGTTGAAACTCAGTGTTCTCCTAAGATTATACTAGATGGTCTTTTGAAACCGAGGAATATAATTTCCCAGAATCAGTGAGGATTCTGGGATCTGTATATTTTTTAAAATGCGGTTTGTTTTTGCAAAGTCAGTTAGCTAATTGAATCCTTTGCTATTCTACAGATTATTCGCAGGCAAGTACTGATGTCGACACAGAGAAGGAATTTCCTTAAACCTATAAAAGCAAAGCAGGAGAACACTGGCTATGATACATAGATACCCTCTCATTCTGCTTGTGACGTGCCTAAACTTACCCCGAAGGATTACACTAGATGCTGCATCAAAGAAGAATATATGATTATATACTTAGATTATCTCTCAAGTATTTTTCAAAATAATTTGTTGACAAAGTTTAATAACAATTATGTTCTGCTATCACTGATTTTTATACTAAAAATAGATCAATGAACAATGTAATGTGCGACTGCTACACGAAAATTATGAACATCTTCTGGGATTTAAATAAATGAAAAAGAGTTGATGTTTCTTACTGTTTTCATTAGTCTATATACCTGGCCCTGCAGTAAATCTATCTGGACTATCTCAGTGCTCTTATGCTCATTTGTGGACTACTTCTGCTTTAGATAAAGTTTTTTTAATTACCTAAAATCCATATTATAAAACTTATGCCACTTACTTTTATTAATGCAAGCCATTTATCAGATTTGATGAAGAGACAGGATAAAGCAATTGCAGCTCCAGTCTTCAGATTTTTTTTTGAAAGAGACGACATTGGAGAATTAAATACCATATTCAGAATTGCTAACAGTTAAGAAGACTACAGCATAGACTATTATGGGAGTAGTTTTAATACATAAAATTAAAGTGAAATTGAAATTAGAAAGTTTTCTCTTTTGTAATTAAAGGTAAAATTAATCATTTATAAAAACTAAAATATCAAATACATAAATCATCATAACTCTGATCCTCTTTGGAGACTTCTAATTTATAAAATTTTGGCTTGTTTTGTGATTTGATTCTAATTTCATAACTTCTACATTAACTAAATTAATCTATTGCATTTGAGGTCACCCGAGATTCTGTACAATAAAATGTTATGTTGATTGATTGTGATAGTTAACTGTGCTTAACACTTATTTAGCACTTTACATCTTCAA